AGGACTTACAAACAACCGTTATGTGAACAAAACTATAATACTCTCTTTAGCAACTTTGTTGCGAGAGTATAATAAACGTATGCATACATGCATACATATTCGAACGTACATATTCGAACGTACATATATAGGGTGATCCACTTCAAAGCTTCGTACTTTGTAAAAAAAAAAAAAAAACATACATACATTTAAAGAAAAAACACAGGAAATTAAAATTTAATGGTGAATTTTTATTATCATTCGAAAGAACATTCTTTCGCCTTCATTTTCTTCAAATGTTGACCGCAACTACGTCTCAGATGGGCAATTCGTTGAGTCCAATTTTTTATGACTCATTTGAGCGTTTCGACTGGTAATTGGCGAATGACTCGAGTGATGTTTTGCTTTAAAGCCTCAATCAAAGCGGGTTTGTCCGCATAGACTTTAGACTTTACATATCCCAACAGGAAAACGTTTAACGTTGTGATATCACACGATCTTGGTGGGAAACGGCACCGTCTTGTTGAAAAAAAATGTCGCTGAGATCACAAGCTTCAATTTCAGGCATCAAATAGTTGGATATCGTGGCGCGATAACGGTCGCCATTTTTTTCTGTATAAAATTTCTGCTCTCGAATATCTTCAGGTTGCTTTTTGTCCCAAATACGGTTATTTTTCTTGTTTACGAATCAGAAATGGACCTCAAAAATATTTGCGACGAAAACTTCGGATCTTCTTGGAACTTTTCAAGAACGCTTTAAATTTGAGATCTCGACGCAAAATGCGCCAAGTCGTTTCATCCGTCAGTTCGAGTTACTGCGTACGGCGTGAAATCGACGAAACCAAAAATCTGGCTCGATTTATACATGTCCGTCACTCTGTCCGTCTATATACCTGCCCTTAAACCAGATTAACGGATCGCTCTTTGTATTATTTTAATTAAATTATAATACTATACTCAATACCTAATTTTGTTAATCATCTTTTTTGACTTTTTCCTTAAAATATTGTCAAGAAACCAATGTATCGCCGTACTTTTACTATTCGCAGCAATTAGCTCATTAGTTTTTTTGATGGTCATATGGTACTTCAGCAATACTAAATATTTCGAACATTCAACATAACCTCAAAGTCATTGCAAGAGTTTTTTTCTATGAATATGCTAGTATACCGTTAGTCAGTATATCAACGAACCCATAAACTTGCGCCATAAACGCATGTCAATTTCGTCGCACATTTTTAATTCATTTAATGTCCAGACTTATTAAAATTTATTATAGTGGTTATGTCTACACACAACTTTCCTGATATGCAGCACTTTTAATCAAGCTAATTACCATTGTTTGAAGTGCGCTAATGCAGTAGTAAACTGAATGAAATTGAAGTTGAAAAACTTTTTTATTGCAGTGGTCTCAACATTAATGCAAATAATAATATTAATAAAAGCATTCTACGAAAAATTTAGAATTTAACTTAACTTGGCTCTAAAAGCTTAAAGCTTTTCGTTAAATATGTTCTTATAGCTTTGGTATTAGCAGGCGAAAAGTAGCCGCATTTTTGAATAAAAGCTCTGTAATCTTATGTTTGCTTTCGGTCGGGCTGCGAAACTACTGACAAAATATTAACAAAAATTCGCTTAGTGGATTATGTTATCGCTACACCTGGCATTTGATCTAACCTAACTAGATAGCTGATTCAGAGATCGCACTTGGACTACTATATGCGGTATTACCCATAAAAATAGAACCCCTGTGAAGATCGAAATTTTATAAAATAGAAAAGGATAATACAAAATTGTCTGGGCGTTTAATTTCTATTCCCATCAGTTCGTTGGGGCATCTGAAACTATGAGCTCCCAAGTGTTTAAGGCATGACCTCCCAAACGCGAGACAATCAATAAGGAAAGGTTGAGGTATTTTCACCTTGTCTTCTTCAATACCCAAACGTACGACATGGCGGTCGATAGGGCAATGGCTTTCAGAACCCGGACATCTAAGGAAAGGTTAGCCTTGTTGAGGGCAAAGAGCTCACTGAATCTCTTTCGATCGATCTTGGGCAAAAGGTTCTCACGACAGCGCAGTAGCCAATGCTAGCCGAGTGCTGGTCAAGTTCCAACGAAGCCTAGTTATTTAGTAGCATATCAGAAGGGAAGCGGGGAGCATCGAACAGTTGCTATTCTATTGACAGCGTGACTGGGATACCTTTTATTGCCAGCTCAGCAGATTTACAATAACCTGCAATACCGCTGTGGCTCGGCACCCAAACTAGTCTTATCACAAAGTAACGCAATGCCATTGATAACGAGTACGCCTGTAGTCTAGTAGCCTTCAGTTCATTGGATACCAAATATATTTTGCTACTAGTGGATCCGGATCTGGTTACCAGCGCTTCTGTTCAGCTAATAGAGTGGTCCGCTTAATAGATTGTACTTAACATCAACTAATTGTGGGACCAGCCCGAGTCAATGATTATGTAATAGAGCGTCCACTTATTAGAGCTATCACGATATCTTTTTTGTATGATTTTTTTTTTTTTTTTTTACTATCCTATTTTCTAAGTTGGTTCGAACTGAACACAGTGTGCTAAATTTTGCTAAAATCGGTTTAGTCGCTTAGGAGTACATCGCAGACAAACAATGTGACAAGTGATTTTTATATATAAAGATAAAGATATGTGATCCTGGACCTGAACTTGTCACTTCATCAAATACTTTCTCATGTTTAAAGTAGTTTTTGTCAACTCGATTTCGATGACGTAGTTTTTGAGTGTCAGCCAAATTTAAAGCATACATTTTGCCGGTGTTCAAACAAACGCTTGAAAACATGAGTTGTTAACACCCAAGGCGCTTGAAATTACACACTTGTACACCACAGAAAAGCCAAAAAGTTATAAATGGTAAAATAACCGATAGAACAACAAAAACAAACGACCTCCGCCGAAACTCCCCAAACACATATCCAAAGTCACAATTAAATGTCTATAGCTAAAAATAGAGGAGGAAAATAAACTGAAAATATTTTGTAGCTGCACAACTTCCTGGCCATCCCAAAAATAAATAAACGCAAAAAATAATAATAAGAAAATAAAAATAATAATAAAAAATTTTACCTTGAAAACTTTTCCTCGCGTGCGTACACGTATTTCCCAATCAATAGCGCTTGTCTTATATCATATCTAGTAACTTAAAAGCAATTTAATGCATATACATACACATACACACACATAAGTATGCTTGTAATATCGCTAATGAAATACCTTTGCACGTCACTTCTTCCTTTGCAGAGACATGCGCCTTGATTCCAATTCCAATGAGGATTGTAAGACGTCGACAGACTCGTCATTGTGCGTAAGTAATCGACGCCTTCACCAGTAATTCATACAAATGTCTACTAGTATATGCGAGCGCATGTTGGCATCAATGCAGCGACGTTAATAAACAATTAACGATTGTTTTCATTTCTCTTCCACTTACATGCTCACCTCCACCAATCGCCTCCAACCACCACCACCAAAAACCGGAGCAGAAAGTAAAATTTGACACACTCTCAGTCTGGGGTGGCTCAGAGAAGACAGATACCCGTCTGCCAATAACGGACTACTCTACTTTGGGCGGACCACGTCACAATTGCAGTCCATTTCCGTTATCAAAAGATGTTAATAATCGCTTTTTGTTGTGGTAATTCTCAATTACATCATTTAATTACATCGTTATAAAAGTACCCTTATTTGTATTCTCATCACAGGGAGGGCGATGTAACCACACTCGAAGTGAACGCCATCACAAATACTATCGAGGAGACACAAAACGAGACTAATCCACTTGCCGAACGCATTTATGCCGCTGCCGGTAATCAATTAAAGGAAGAATTAAGCAATAACCTAAAAGGTGAGTACTTTAAGCATTTTAAATCTTCAAAAATTAATACTTCGTTTCCTCTTCATTTGTAGAGTGCCGAACTGGCGAGGTGTGCGTTACGCGTGGCTACAATTTACCAGCCAAATTTGTGATACACACCGTCGGACCAGCTGTGAAGGAGACATTCAAAAGTGCTGCTGAAAATACATTGCATTACTCTTACAGGTAAAGTGTGCAATGGGTAATGGTAATGGTTTACGAAAGCGTAGTTCGAGTCTTGTTTGTCGGTTATGGAAATATGCGCTATTTTGTGGCTACTTTGGGACCCGTAGTAAAAGATCTGCCAGATATACGCTTATAAAGATTTCACTCTTATAACTGTTAAGAGTCTGTTCACTAATTCACACCTTGAAAAATACTCACCTTGCTAGATACTTTCGACATCAGTCAAGGACTCCATAGGCATAGTATCGATGTCCGATTTGTTTGTCATAATTTTGATCTTTGTGTATCCATAGCTGAACTCGATGTATTAATTTCTTAATAACAGAGTCATCTGTCACGGGGTCCTTTTCGTCTGCACGACATATTTTATTGTCCTCCAAGGTCCTTGCGAATTTCCTCCCGACCATTGGCAAATTCGAATTGTAGGCTCTAATTAGCTCATTACCTGGCACAGCTGTGATGATGTGGCTATGTTCCAAACCCTTGCCCTTGGCCTGGACGGATATTTCTATCCACCAGAAAGCTGCCTTTGGGATATATGTAGTAGTTTCCCAACTTTGACTATAGCCGTACCCTTCTGAACAGATTGCCAGCACGATGCTTCACCGCATACCTTTTTTTTCTAGGTCTTCGGCCTTTTCGGCAGATACACCACCAGCAGAATCACTTTTACTTGTAGTATCCTCTTTTTACGGCTGCTTTGCAGGCAGGCTCTAGTTACTCTGGCTTAGTTTCAGTTACCGGTGATAATGTCGCCTTCCTGGAGCTAGCCTTAGCTGTAGCAGTGCTAATGTTTTCACCTGGACCATGCTCCTGTGTTTGTTTTAGAAATATTAAAGCTCGTTGAAAATGCTACCCTCTTTACGAGACTTTTTACTGGAGACCCCGGCTCCTTTGGTATTTTAATACATGTGTTTTGACCCATATTTCCACTTACGCGTCAAAACTTAGCTGGATACCTATCAACTGTAACCGGCGTGAACTGTCTTCAGTCGGTCTCTGGTAACTGTGGTATCCTTTGAAATTTCATTGGCAGTGGAAAACAATCACTTGTCTGACGATAGCGCATTGCTGAACATCTTCTTACAAAAAATATCATTGATAAATGAATTTGTGATTAAAGGGGCCATGTTTAAATGGAGAGCTCTGTTGCTTTGACTTATTAGATAAATAAATGAGGATTGCACCGCTACCTAAGTTCTATTGTGTCTCACCAATGTCACAACGACTGACCTAACCTCCACCTAACCTAACCATGCTATGTGCTATTGAGGCGATGGTCCTTGGTATATGGTAATATAGTGATAGACTTAACTCCTCAACTACAGAACACCTTAAATCTATTTTTAAACAAACTTTTGCAGTTTACTTTTTTAATTTTCAAAATATTAAATATAATTGTATTATTATTTTCCTTTTGCAGAAATGCTTTGTATAAAGCTAAGGAACTAAATCTGCGTACAATCGCTATCAGCAACTTAAGTGCCAATCAGAGTAGTTTCCCAGCCGACTTAGCTGCCCACATAGCATTGCGTAATTATTCCTCAAACAACCTTTTCTATAGCATATTAATGGTGTCTTCGTTTACTGTTTTCAGGTACAATTCGTCGATTTTTAGATAAATATCAAACGCAAATTGTGATATTGTGTGTTAGCGCACACGAACGTGGCATTTATGAAGTGCTAGCGCCGCTTTACTTTCCACGCGATCATCTCGAGGAACGTAGCGCCCTGTGGCAATTGCCCAAAGATATTGGCGGTGAATTTGGTGAACCACAAAACACTGACCGACAAATACGTATCATTCGTAATCCACAGCATAGCGTACTAATGCGACACGGTAAGCGGAACGCTCACGAAAATATTTTGGGTAATCACATATAAAATCACTTATAAATCGATGATGTTATCTGGTCACTTGCCATTTGAGTCATAATTACTCCGAATAGAGCTCAATGATGTTTCAGTGTCTTAATTGAGATAAACAAAGATGTGCTAACTTTAAGGCTTTCATTTCGTTCATAATTTTCTAATATTCAATTAAATTTCAAAGTAACCTTTTCATATGGACTGAAATATATATTTCCCGTTTGAGTGTTAAGTTCAAATTGATTTTCGCCTGATTTTCAACATATTGTTTTGACGGACTCGGACTATAAAGAGAGAGCGGTGTTGGATGTTTGGCATTTAGTGGGCATACAAAGAAGTAGTTAGAGTCTTGCGGAGACTCATTTCATTCTTAGATGATATTTTATTTGGATTGATCTTCCCAGATGGTTCCCATGCTAATATTTATTGCTACATTTATGAGTTCTTTGACATATGTATTTCGACTTACTTAACCGGTTTTCTTTGAACCAGTCAAAATGATATCCTACTGAGTGCTTATTTTTGAGTCGCTATTTGATATGGTTACATACAGTTTTCAGACCATTCTTTTAGCGCTGATTTACTATTCATTTGAAGCCACTGAAGGTCAACTAGATGAATCAGTAAAAAAATTCAAAATTTTTAATAAATAAACGCCGATACACCAGAGAAGGGCCAAGGCTAAGCTCGTTGGATCTCACATTAAATATAAAATCCATAAATTATGTAAATAAATAATTTTATTTCGATATATTTTACATGTTTTCAGGTTGGTAGTTAGGTAAGAGTGCAGCCACTTCGGGTTCAATTAGCACTATATACGCCATTTTAATATACTAAAGTAGGTCCTTTATATCTTGATATCACGCTTCATTGTTGTGAACTTTTTCGTGTCCTCAAAACTACGTTTCCCCGACATTCAAAGTTTGATATCTCATGGATTTCAATACTTCTACGTCGGGTTTTTAATATAGCTGTGTACTCACAGAGGAAGTTTGTTACAGTTTCCTCGTTTGCTTTGAGCTCGCAGCTGCGGTAAGTGTTGTTACAGGGCATTCACTGTTTTAGCGCATGTTCCACTATCCTACATTTAGTTGTAGATTTCCATGTATTCGGAACTATTTGTTTGCATTGAGCTCCTTCTTGTTCGTTGCATGGGAAGAAGGTATTATATCCGTTTCGGATTCATTTAGGTAGGCTTCTGATTTAGCCAACTAGTCTGCGTTTTTGTTGTCAAAATTTTATCTGTCTCCGGAAGCCGAAATTATGAACATGTGGTGTTGAGCCTTATACTTTCCCACATTTGTTTACTAAGCTGGAATTGGTGTTTAACGACGACAAGGTCAGTAGTGCCGCCTAGCTGTCAATGTAAATGGTTACTATCTCGTAGTTGTAATACTTCCGCTTGGAATATACTAGCTGAGTTTGGTGGACGGAAAGATAGATAGATCCTCGGAGTATATCATTGTTGCCTATTTTTGACTTGGCAACTAAACTTCTTATCTATTCATGTCTATAGGATATTTTCAACTTCAAGTAACTGTTGAAATTTAACCTTGGCACCATATAGTGTGATCCATTTATATTAGCATCGAACTGGTTTAGAATTTCGCTTGGTCCATAACTATTTTTGGTCCAAATACCATTCTTCTTTATTCTTACACCAGAATATGAATTTATTAACTTGCCACTTTCTGTGTGAAAGCGTCTATCGACAGTTGGAGCAGGAGCATATTAAGTGCACAATTTGAACATGACTCAAATACGCCGGTAACCGCATTGCACATGCGATCCTCTGTATTCCATTTAATTGCCTGATATTATTGTATTGCTTCTTTACCATTACCCAATTGGTTATATTCGGGTTTAGTTCCTAGTTTCTGCGGAGTATACTCTGGCATGTGTGATAGGCCATATAAGCATTTCTAATATGTTTTTGTTTTGAGTGAATCTAAAGAGTTTTAAGATGATATGCAATGCTAAATATATTGTCCACTTAATCACTTAATCAAGTAAAACGTTCTTCATAAAACTATTTAAATATTGGTTAGTCGAAAAAGTCTGTTCGTATTTTGTCAATAGATGTTATTGCAGTCGTACATATGTATATCTCAAGTGCTACCAATCACATTGTATCATACCATGTAGTGTTGGAAAGGTAAGATTTTAAGCTTCATTTAACAAGGGAAGTTGAAAAAAAGTTACAGCCGTTCCAAAATGAATGAAAATAATTAAGAAATCTTTTGAAATTTTTGTATAAAAAAGGAAAGAATGCCACGCCAGCCACAATGAAATTTATGAAGTTTACGGAGACGATGCAATATTTTATATTTTTCTCTCCACAAAAAAAAAAATATGAATCAATATAATATATACACGAATAATTTTATATTTAATATAACCGTAATATAAATATCATTATATGTAAATACAACAAACATCTGATAACAAGTGATAATTCCTGATAGCAATGCGACGCTTTCGCACAATTTATTGACAACATCCAAATTGCGACTTTATGTCATATAAATATAGATCTACCAGTATACCCATATACAAATCTATTTATATACATATGTATACACACATAATTGCACACAAAGTAAAACGCACTCTTCTCAGGCGAAACGGGCGGGGTAGCGTTTGCGATAAGTTTGATAAGATTAAAAACACTTGAAATACGCTAACAGAGTTGCCAACCATTTGAGTGATGATAAACGGCAGATCATAAAGTGCAATAACTACTAATATGTTGGTGCAGTTAGAGGGGTGTGTATGACTAAGCCGCCTACCTCAATTATAATTTTTACATATATTAGTCATAAAAATATTTAGGATTATCACTGAATGGTCAAATATCAATGAATCATTATTTGGCAATTACATAGACTTATGCGAAACAACTAGATTTATCTCTAATAAAATTATCTTTTGCAATCCACTTTGCGATTTGGCGTAGACTTGGCAATCTGTTTAACTGATAAAAACATTGATTTTTACTCTTACTTTGACATTTACTGACAACCATTCAACGCGTGAAGATTATAAAATTTATTTCGTTTGAGTTTTCTTGAATATTTAATAAATTTCTGCTGCAACATTAGAGTTTCGATTTTATAAATTAACGCGCAGTATATTTTGATCACATTTTCAAAATATATTTTTATACAAGTGTATAAAAATCCAGTGATTTAAAAAACAATAACAAATGTAAGTGTTTAGCATAGACCTTGCCATATTGTTAAGAATAAACCTTTTATATAGTATAACAAGATCATGAGTGTCAATAATAATGTGTCATACTGTGCTGGATAATTTTGATTATTATTATTATATTGAGCAATAACAAAGTAGTTACTAAACGGGCTCGAAAAGTTAGAATCATCTATAACGCGTAAAGAAATAGTTAAACATAAAATCTGCAAACTGCATGCATTTATGTTAATTCATACAGGGTCCTACCAACGGGAGCATTCCCTGCTTTTGTGCTGTGGTATGGCACCCATACCAATCTTATGATAAAGACACTCGATGCCATCGAGGTTAGGTTCTTCTTGACCAACCCTGAACGCACTGTTAATGAGTTCAACACTGCCGCTCTGCTGTCTGAGTAAATGGTTACTTCTCTGATTGATGCGGCACTCCAGAGAAGTAAATCTGCAGCTACCTTATTGCTGCAACTTCGGCTTGAAAAACATTACACTAGTCAAGAAGTCAAGAGCTAGAGTTAAAAGTGAGTTCCTTCTCCAAACTTCCCACCAAGCTTTGATCTATCCGTAAAGAAGTTCACTCTACCTCTCCCCCAACAGCTTCTTCCCACGCACAACTCAATCACCGATATACAAGGTGAATTCCAAAGTAAACAGGACTTTTTGAATCTAGCGCCCCCTTTTTGCGCCATCTATATGTCGACTGGTGCGTTAGAATATGATATCTTAATCAAATGTCCAGTGAGAGTTTTATGACATTTCATTGATTTTAAGTGAAGTTATTGCGTTTTGAGTGTCAATTTGTTTGTGTTATCGGTGCGAAAATGAACTTCGAACCAAGAGTCAACATTAAATTTTGTTTTAAAATTTAAATTGCTGACACAAATTTATTCCGATGATTGTCTCTGCCGTAGCAGAGTGTATGAGTGGTTTCAACGTTTTCAAAGTGATCGTGAGGACATAAATGACGATCAATATGTGGGCCAATCAAAATCCGTGATCACCGGAATTCCATCGAAAGTGTGCGTGAATTCATCAAACATTTGCGCTTACGAAAGGTGTGTGCACGGTTTGTTTCGTACAATTTTTGTTCTTTTTTTCTTTTTTTAAGTCCTGAGAAGAGAGTTCGGCTTGTTAACTCCAAGATCCAAATGACTTATGTAAAATATTCTTCACGATTAAAAAATGGAATTAAATTGCGAACGTTTTCGTACTAATATTTTTTACAACTTTCGACATAGATTACCTCACCGAGAATGCATTCTCGTAGATCACTCCAAGACAAATTTTGAGAAGGTCGCCCAAAATCAGTTGTTATTCTAGAAACAATTGACGATGTGCGCAAGCTTATATTGCAAGATCATCATATGACCTATCAACAGACTAAGACAATTATAGACATTAGTGGGACCAGCATACATTCAATAGAGCACATTTGCCTTTAAACAGATTTACTCACTTTGGATCACACACAATTTGCCGCTCGATCAAAAAAGGTCTAATGTCGATTAGTCAAGAGAAATGTTAACACAATTCGATAGCGGTACTTTGAAACAGGTCTATAACATCCTGACAAATGTTTAGTAGTAGAATCCAACAAAAGTAGTTCACGCACGAAGCACTTCTATACAAATGGTTGCCTGTTTTTTTCTTTTTGGAAGAACTGTGCATGTCGCAACCATAATAACGCAGAACTGTACATTTTAAGTGATATACAACCATTTCTTTGCAAGCTGTCTTTCAATACTCGCAAATCAGGAAAACCACCGCCAAAGACGGCTCACTCTTTGCAACGCCAATTCTAACTCTCACAGATATACATATGTACATAGTAGATAGAAACAGCAGCAATTTTGAGCACTCAAAACATCGATTTGATGAGCCATCCTCCGTATAGTTCTGAATTGACACCGAATGCCTTGTTTGCATTTCCGTTCGTAAAAAATTTACAAAGAAATAAACGTTTTTCGAAAGTGATGCGTTCAAAAGCCATGTTTTGGAGATACCTCATTCGGACTGGCTAAAGTTCTTCGACAGTTGGTTCAAACGCTTGCAACAGTGAATAGGTCTTAATAGAGAACATATTGGAAAATGGATTTTCAATCATTCAAATTTATTTTTGTTCTCAACCCCCAAAATACAAAAGGCAAGCTATGTAGATCCATATTGCTTTACTAATCATTCATTTTATAGAGCTTCGATTATAATCGAATTATTATTAATTAATAAATAAACTTTCTCTATGAAATTGAACACCTCTTACAGCATACAACTTATCTACCGGAACTTAGTAGGTCGCTTTATATAATAAAAATTAAATTTTTTGGAAGCTATTAGATTAGCATACACCTCAAAGCCGATTGAGTCAAAACATGTCGGAAATGGGTTCATTAAACGTCTTATCAGTGCACAAGTATTCGTATAGATTGCCTCTTCTTCTGTAAATATGTGCAAAAGAGTTCAAAATCTTAAATCGCGTGCCACCAACAGTTGCATATCAAACAGTTGTCGGAAAAAATACACATATGTACTTACATATCGGTGCAATAATATTTGCCAGCTCTTGAACTTTTCAATCAAAACTCGAATTCCGTGAAAATGACCGATAGCAATGGACCGAATTGAGTCTTCGTAACTGACCTCGTTTACAGTGTTAAAGCCAAGCGAATCATTTAAAATACAATGCTATTTGAAAGCGTTACTCACAGCTAAAGACATCCTTTATGAAGTAGAACGCTTTGCAGTAGAAGCTTTAATATAAGAGTTTGCTTTCATTCTTAATACATAATAATTTTTCGAGTTCGCATAATTTTTATATTTGACAAATATGTTTATACGGCATTCGTCCTACCATAAGCTCTCGGAAGGTAACTATAAACTTGGTTTGTGAGTGAGAATATTCTTTTCTAGTTCTAAGTGAATGTGTTTTAAATAATTATATTTATAAAGAGAAACTTGAAGAAATTGTGACATAAATTATAAGAAATAATCACCCATACTTACCAGAAATTGAAGAACTGAGCTAGTTCACAAACAATTAGTGAGTGTTTAGCAGTGATTAGTCTTGCGGTAACCAAATTTTCCGTGAACTGGGATGACAGACTCTACATCTTGACTTTATTTTAAAATTTCAAACGAGTTGCCTTGGTATTTCTGAAACTAATTTGAAATGCTTGCAAAATCTGCTGGAATTGTAGAAGAACTCCTTCTTCTATGAAATTGAACGGCATTTGAAACAGTATTTCCTTGCCTTCTTCATTGAAAAATTTCGACCGTACTGTTGCTTTTGATCTACTTGATTATAATATTTACAATTAAAAGTCCCTACTAGTGGTGAGGACATTTTAAATATGTACTCAATGGTCGACTTGGGAACCATCACCAACACTCATGCCTATCTCATTATGGTAATGCAAGAAACAGAAGATTTACTTACTTTGGACGACTAGAAACCCATCACCAATTCTAGAGTAACAGACTCATGCTGGCGACTTTTGAAATAAAGTACTCACACAGTGAGCATGAAACTTCTAACTAACCCGCCCTATATAACACCTGGCTAAAGCTTGAACGATTGCTATAATAATATGAATATTTTCTTGAAATGTTCTCGATTAAGATAAATCCAAATCTTAAAGTTTTAAAGGCATTTTTTTAACTCTAAGAGAAAGAAGAACATTATACCCTAAGATGTAGTATAAATCTACATACATGGTGGCGATCTTGAAAGTAAATTTGGCATTTACTGATCATCATTGAAATTCATGGAAATGGAATTTACCATCTCCAAAACATCGATTTGTCTCATTTTGACCGAACATTTGGGCTTACGAAAGGTGTTTGCACTGTTTGTTCCGCACAAATTGACTAACGACCAAAAATTTCTTAGAATCCAACATTCGAACGACGATTATTTGACCAAAAATCACATTTTAACCATTAAACACCCCGGGTATTCACCTGATATGGCACCGTGTGACTTCTTCCTTTTCGGAAAAATGAATTTGCCCATGAAAGGAAAGCGTTATGCAGACGTAGAGGCCATTCAAAAGGCTTGCGCCGGCATACTGGCGGCCATACCGGCCAACGAGCTGAAACACTTGTTCGACATGCCTTTGGACCGTGCAAAAAGCTGTATGGAAACAGAAGGAGATTATCTTGAATAAAATAAATTGATTTTGCCAGAAAAACCATTGTATGAGCACTCCTACTAGAGTTCTTATGCCATCCCTTTTTAATTTTAATAGCCGGCATGTGTGCTCCAATTCCATTCATGACACGCTTGTCAACTTTTTAATCAAATTAGAGATGAACTCCACCGATCCTGAACTATATTTATAACATATTTGTACATTACATATCTACAACTAGCCAGATGCAAATAAATTCCTTCTTTTTCGGAGTCTAATTATTGGATGGTGCCTGCTCTGGCTAGTTCATCTGCTTCACAGTTACCAGCCATTCATTTTGTCTTTAACCCGTCGAACGTTTATTATGAAATAGACAGCTGGATCCACTAAGATATCAAGGTATTCTTTTACTACCCTTGATGAAATCCTGAGTGATTAAAGTGATTTCAAAGCTGCTATGCTATCTGTATATATAAATACATACTCTTTGTCAGAACAACAGAACAAGAAGGCTGCGATCTTCGATTGAAAAACTCTGCAATAGTGTGATATTTGGGAGGCGATTCTGCTACCCATTTTTACTGGAAAAACACCACCTATCACTCCATTATCTAGTGTGTCCTTATCTGTATGTAAACTTATTCCTCCGTCCATGACCTCACCCCCTTTCCCACTCTTCTCTGGAAAGGAAAGTCATTTGGGGACCGAATATTAGTTTCACAGAATTTCGAAAACCCGTGGTATTGGATAAAAACGAGAATTTTCTAAGTATATTATAATGCCCTTTATTACAGACGTCTTATACGGATGATTCCTTCAGTCTAACAGTTGACTTCACTGCCAAAACAAGTCTGTGGGCGTTATTCTAGGAACTCCACAGTTGCATGTATGTCGTAATCGGCCTTCCACTGCTGTGTAGAGCCAATGGATTGCACGAGACGTCTTAGACACCATTTGAGCCTCATTATACTTTTACAGTGCTGTAGCTGCTTTGATTACTCTAGTTTTCAAGTTTGGTTTCCCTGAAAGCTTCCTGTCTAATATAATATTAATCCCAAACAGCTTTCTTTCTCTCCTGTTATTGCTAAACTTTACTGCCCAGGGATTGAGCCCGGATATAAAAATCGACTCACAACATCCGACTGCTGTCTAACTTAAATACTTGTTCGTTTCGCCAAAAAAAAATTAGTTTTTGTCATTCTTAACTGGCGGACTTACATTTATTTATATATTTTTCGCTACGCCCATCAAATGGGCAACAACTACAAGAGAGACTGATCTGCTTATCAGTTTGAAAGGTAGAAAGAAGAAAAACCTAAATATTTGGACAATTCGATATGGACCGTTAAAGGGGATAAATAACTTTTTATCTCGAGCGTCAGTGTATCTGTACGTATGTGTGTATGGGTGTAGTAAGTGTCAGTTGAATTTACGAGCACAGATGAGTTGTTTTATCTACGAGCCAACAGAACAACACAACTAACAAATGGCAAGCGGATGTGCAGAGCAAATAGTAGGAGGCGGTTCAGGGCACATGGCATCACAAATACATCAGCCAGGCGGGCATGCGAGCGCGGCTAGTGTAGCATGTGGAACTTGTTGACTGCTACAGCTTCACTTCAGTCCAAACAGCGAAAGCGAGCAGCAAGTGTATACCAATGAACTGCTTGGCTCGGCCCAGTCACAATCAGTCGGATATTAAATGTCACTACAGTCATTGTGCGAGCGAAGACAGCGCAGGCGAAACATGAGACAAACAACAACAACAAATAAAAACCACAAAAATTGGAAATAAAAATAAACAGGCAAAAATAAACGCGGCGAGCGTGTTAGCAAGGAGAACGCGCAAAAGGCGACTAAAAGCGAACGCAATTGGAAGTGCGGAGTTAAAAAAAATACATAATAATAATACAAAATTTCAAATAAACATACAAAAGATAAATTAATTAAAAAAATAAAATAAAATAAATTTAAAATGGAAAAATGAAGTAAAGAAGAGATATAATAAATAAAGGTAAACATTTTTGGTTGCG